CTTTGGGCCTAATGCCACTTTGGTCCCCAAACTTTAAAATGCGATGATTTAGTACTCGAACTTTCAAAATGTGCCAATCTAATACTTGACGTTAACCATTCGTTAAGTGGCATGTGAAAAGGTTCAAATGCCCTCCAAGTGTCATCTAATTTTCTTTATCAACCATCCCCTAGAACAACTGTCAATTTTTTCATCCTTTAAAATTTTCCTCTAAGAGATAATTCCTATCTTAATATTGCTTTAATTAACCAAATAGCAAACTGAACAAGAATGATCTGTTGAAAGAGATTGAGAGCGTGACTGTCAATTCTATTATATAAGTATTTTTTTTTTTTTTTCTGACCATCTCTCTCCTTAGTCGCTACCCCTCCCCCTCTCGCTCCGTCATTTCTGATATTAGGGCTTCTGCGTTTAATCTCTGGAGATTCAATTTAACCACCCATTTTGGAATTCCTGGTTGCTCTCTATTTCCTTCTTTACTCGGGAAAATGTTCCAGATTTTCAAGGAGTTTTAGTTGGGTTGAATTTTGTCTGAAATGGATGGGATGTATTTACGGGCATTGGCAACGGTATGCAAGTAGATAACAAGGTGTTGCAAACGTTGCAAAAGAGCTTTGTTCAAAGTTCAGAACATCCTAGATCATAACATGATACGAATCCCTCCTACGGTCCATTGAACCGGCTGTCCACCGCCTCCACCAACTGTTCCCACGTCATAGAAGGTTGATGGTCCTTTGCCCAGCAAAACCATTCCATCGCCCGACCCTCAAAGCCCATACTGGCAACTGTAAGTTGCTGTTCCACCGGCACCTCCTGTAGTTCGAAGTATCGGTGGATCAACAGCAACCAACCATCAACATTGGTACCGTCAAACTTTGGCAATTCCACCTTCAACCTCCGGAGCGACTGGGTAGGAGCCCCGCTCCCTTGAGTAGAGTCTTCCGTCCTCTGTGGTGGCCGCTGTGAGTTCCGCCCTTCAGATGCTGGTCGTGCATCGAGTCTATTAATAATTTCGTTCAAAGTTTCTGAAGAGATTCATGGCTCCTCTCCATGCTACTAACCCTCCGCTCTAAATCCTCCATCGCTGCTTCCTCAGGATTGGTTGGCTCTGATACCAAAATGGTATCGACCTCTTCGAGCTATGGTGCTGCCGGCACCACTCAGGAGAAATCTAGAAGACTGTGTATTGGGAAATAGTTAGCTTTATTCATGCTTTCTAAGGGGGCTTTATAGGCAATCCTTACGGTTACAGCCATGTGGGTGTGGGTCACTATTATGTCATATCATAAATACAAATCATTGGAAACTGGCCAATGATTGGCTATAATAATAACTGTCAAAAAGGAAAAAGTAAAGAGTTCGGTGAAAAAATTTATGCAACCTGTGTGAGCCTTCTACTAGATCATGAGATAATGGGTTGGGCCTCTCCTATACGGGCCTTCGTCTAAAGGAGGGATCCGTATCATAACAGGTTGCTCATCAACGAGATAAACCAGAACCATGAGTCGAACATCCCAGACATGTGGTTGGTCTCCTTGCTGACCTTTCAAGCTCGTTTACCAAATCAGTTGAAGCTTCATCCTATGGGTATTCGGGTGAGACATTGAAATCGGACGGGAAGCCAGGACACAAAAGAATTAGGCTCGGTAAGGAGCTGGAATCTTGGGCATGTCACATGTCCTATGCTTCGCAAACTCTCTCTACTAATTCTTTTACACCATCGGAATGAAGGAATTTTCAATATCAATCCAGTAGACCCGATTATGTAACTCGTGTATCTGTATTGGGGATTTATTCGACATAGTTCTCATTAGAAATAAAAAAACAAGAATGATCTGGAACAATTCCAACCATTCAATGAGTGGGTCTGTCAGAAAAGGTCACCCCCGGTGGTGTTTGTGACACGAGATCTTGGGCTTTGTTTCATCTTTYTGAGGAAGAAGATGATGAATAGTGTGTTTTATTTCTAAGGGTAATTTTGACATTTTCAATAGTCTTAAGTCGCACACGAGGTCACATGATATACATAACTGACGATCCATTAATGACAACTACTAGATTGACATATTTTGAAAGTTCAGATACTRATTTGTTGCATTTTAAAATTGGTGGACCAAAGTGGCACTAGGCTCAATGTACTGTTGGGAAGAAACTAAGTTTATCCACAAACTATTTCTCTTYCAAAAATAAAAACTTGTAGATATTCAGCTATAACAATTCCAAACAAGATATCAACAAAAATAATCATAAGCTAAGCAAAGAGAGACACACACGATATTTAACGTGGAAAACCCCTCCATTGTGAAGGGTAAAAAACCACGGGGCCAAAGAGACCCAACCAAAAATCTCCACTAATAACTTGACGTAACAATTACAGCAACTCAAACACCACAATATGCTCACAAACTTAGAGCAAATACAGATTCTCAAACATACAAACGAGAATACCAAAAGTGGTGAAAATAATAGTCAAAA